TCAGGAGCAAATCCTCTATAACCTCTGCCATTGCTTTTTGCTTTCTTTTCCAGATTGTCACAGTCACCCTTATTTCTAACCGTATTCATCTTCACGCTGAATCTAGCAGGGTTGTCGTCAGTATGATCCCTCACGGGTTAGTTACCTCTGCTGTTAGTGAGGTTTTTGTTAATGTTTTTGCCATACAGAAGAGATGTTTCAGCCTGTTGCTGAAAATTGACGTGGAGGATTTGGCGCTGGGAAGCCCCGTTCTAGAGAAAAGTCTTCAAGAGCTGTAATTGCCTCGTTGTTTCGGAGCATATAAACAAAATGTAAACCACAATCTTCTTTAGTGGATTGAAGAGTTGTGTGCGCATAAAGAGAGGAATTTGCATTTTGTGTGAGGTGGAGGCAAGCAGTCTTATAGAGCATCTCCTATGGGGTGCAGACTGCCTTGGATGTTGGTCTGGGGTACACGGTTATTTTGCACAGAGTTCAAAGCAAGTCTAAACTTCTCTCTCCTCTGAATCTGCAGGTTTCTGCCTCCTACACGGCCAGATTTATCAAACCTGAACAAGATTGTATTCCATGCCTTCTCCCTTGCTATTGTAAGCTACTTCCTTCTTGTTTTTGTGGGAAAGAAGTATGCTTCACTTCACAACTACAATATTGCCAGCAATCAGGTGAGAACAAAAATGCACATACTTCCTGAGCCAGAAAGCAAACTGAGCTCTCCTATTAAAGCCACTAACCACTTGAGAGGGGTAGAAACACAGGTTTTGCAGCAACTTGCATACCCTCCTATGTGGAAGAATAGGCACTATAAGCCAGTAAACGGAGAGACAAGGCATGTCCCTTTTTGATCAAGAGGCCTTTGCATAATCCCACTGATTGGGATGCACCCCACACGGCTGCAGCTGAACCCCAAAGACCATTGGTGTTTTGAATCTGCAGTGCTATAAAAGCACACAGCATTAATAGCTGAAATTCTAAATGGCCTGCACAACTGTGCTTTCCTGTATCGGGCTAGCAACCACCTCAGCATCAGGATCCTCTACCAAGAGTAATTGCTTTGAGAGACTTTCAAGCTAAAACTGTGTTGGTTTTCAGTGTGCAGGAGTTAGGAAGCATGAGCTGTTTGGCTGTTCTGGCAGTTCAGCTTGTTGTGATGACTTCGAATATTTATTAGGAGGGAATTAAGCCAGTAAGGAAGCCAGCCTGACTTCTTGTAGCCTTTTGGAATAAATATCAAGGGAATGTCTTTTCTACTCAGTTTGTCCAGGTGCACTATGCTGCGTACTGAAATTTGCTACATGTCAGCCTGGAAGTCAATCCCATACAGCTTTGGAGTTCCCAGTGGATTTCTTTGGAAGAAGAAACTTGATTTTTGGGGGCCTCAGCTGTGAAAACATTGTGCTTTTAAAGATAGCTCATGTAACCATAGCAAACTGTGTTTTTCAGAGGGTCTCCTGAATTTAGCAACACAGATAAGCAACAAGCAAGTACAAGCATAAAGAAATGCTTCTTTATAAGTTATTTCTGTTAAGGTAAGTCACTCATGTAGGTTTTCCTCTACTTCATTCTGTTTCTGTTTTTACACAGGAGCTAATAGCTGTGGGGCTATGCAATATTTCCAGCTCATTTTTCAAAAGTTTTGCTGTCAGCTGTGCTCTTTCTGGAACTGTCATTCAAGAGAAGACGGGTGGCAGAACCCAGGTGAGCTGGGCTGGATTCATCAAACTTCCAAAGTCTCATCTAAAATATCTGCACACTTAGTATAGGCTGACTTTTCATCCAAACAATTTCTGAGCTTTAAAGTTATATTCTCATGCAACATTAATTTAGATTCCTTCTTCTGGTGTGTTATGTACTATAATTATATAAAATTTACAGCACATCATGTACCATGAATTAAGCTAGGATCCTGTGGGGGAGAATAGGATATGTTCATGCAGTTTAAAACTATGTTTTGGTTGAGTATATCCAGATGAAAATTATTCACCAAACTTTTACTACTTTTTCCTAACTTTTTTTGTACTTAACTTTGTGATTTTAATCTGCTTTATTGGACTTGGTGAGGAGGAGTAGCCTGTAATACATGTATTGTATGCAATACAATAAAAGTATGCCATACAATACAATACAATACAA